TCTCATACATTGCTCAGACAAAACACTTGTACATATTATATAAATCTATAATGACGAGGGTATTACAACAGCCATAGAAGATAGAAAAGTTAATTATCTATATTGAACCAATAGGAAATCGAACCCGGGACCTCAAGAGATGAAGACACATTGAAAGCTGCGTACGAGCCACTCTGCGGCGGTCGGAGAAACATTAATTAAACAAATATAGTTTCTTACGTTAAAAAATAAAGATCCAGATGTAGACTTCGTTTAAATTACGCCCACAATAGGCGAACCACACAAACACCGGCCTATTCTTGTAAACTCGCTCTACCTAAAATTCTGTACAACTAAAAATGAAAATCAAATGAATGACGCACGCATTGAAGTAATCGGTCATTTGAACGAAGAACGAAAGGTTGAGAACTTAGGATTGAATGAATGACATGCGTAGATTTCATTCAATAAACACTGGGCAGTAGGTATTTATTTATAAACATAGTATACAATCACAGAACACAGAAGAGAGGTATACAATCATTATACAACTTTGCTTGAAGCAATTTCATAGCTTAATGGGCGCTGTTAATAGTCGATATTTTACACAAATATTTAATCAAAGCCGTTCGCTTGTACCATGTCTTATACTTATTACTCAGTTAATCAGGTGTTGTCCTTTGAAATTCCGATAAAAAAATACTCTTCTTTGCCACGGAGGTCAAAAATTTTTTTTATTTTTTATTAAGGACTTATAAAATATGCCAGTCCCATCGTAGCCTAATCTTTCACTTCACTCAAGTTAATACGTTTATAGAGTACTAGCTTTCCGCCAGGCGTCACCCGCGTGGTTCATAGGGAACTGTTTATTTAGATATCGATTCATATTATGATATGTAACGTTTTAATTTCCTATATAAAGTTCCACTCCCATTTTCATCCCTCTATTTGCTGTTTTTCAGGATAAAATATAGCCTATGTCCACCGCATATGATGCAGCTTCTCGTAAGTGAAAGAATTTTTAAAATCGATCCAGTAGTTTCTAATCCTATTCGATGCAAACAAACAAACAATGAAACATACAAATAAACAAAAAAATAAACATTTTCAATAAATGTCTATAGATCTATACTGATAGGTTTAGACGTATAGACATTTATTGATGACCAACCAGTTTGTTGACAAACTTAATTTTCGGCACTCATCCACAGCGCCGGAATTGCTGTAGATGAGAAACTTTACAAAAAACAATAAAATGTAACTAACATTCTTATATTCTAACATTCAACTGTGTCGCTTCTGCAAACTTGTCGGTTGTTTAGTTTCACCTTACTACCAAAATGCTTGTTAAAAACCTTGACCATTAACGTTGAAGGTCAAATAGGGGAAATACCGCATAAAAATAAAATCGATTATTTGCTTGGTCGTCGCGCACTCGTGACTTCACACCTAATCTGATACAAACTCTTAAAGGATATAACTCGGAACTCGGCTATACTGAACAACTATGTTATTCCGTTAAAAAATAAATCCATTTCGCAACCGCCATTTGCGAGTAAGATAGCGGCTGTTACCCTAAGGTTGGCCTCGAGTGATCTCGCTCTAAAAAAAGTATTTCTGAATGATAAAAAAGAATAGGGCGAAGGAAAAAAAGCGATATTGGGTTGCCAGGTGTAACTTAAACCCACAGTAGGAATAGATTGAAATCTCAACGATTCTTGTGCTGTAGAATTAAACAAAAAATTAGTGAACATAAAAGTAAACTAGCAGTGCCAAAATCAGAAAGTAAATAAAAAGCTATAGTAATTGGCAAACGTGTATTTATTGCCATAAACCATATATCTAGCAATTGTAAGCTAATATTTATACAGTACTGTCCAAGAAATTTAGATAATTCATTATTATTTTACAATGTAACGTCAAATTAACTGAAACTATTTCCTATGGTACTATATTTAATGGAAATTACAAATCTTTTGAAGAACTAATACCAGTCCTTGTTTTGATATCTTGAGTATTGTGATATTGAAAATGATCTACTTAATCGAAGAGTTTAAATTTGCATCGATACAGCATCATTTCATTTTGAACTAATATTGAATTCAAACTATTACTGTCTTGTTTTAAGTCTCTCACACTCATGAATAAGACAATGCCTCAGGTTTAGTGTAGACTTAAGTAGGTATTAAAAAAAACCGCCTATATTTATAATAGTTTGTAATCGGAACTTACGATAAGTTTTTTATTTTTATCAGTCAAACTATCAAAAACTTTGGGTTTCTCAAGCGATACCCACATTTGGTAAATGTGCGTGTCAGAAATATTTTCACACCATACCTAATTAGTATACTTGGCAGCACTATCTCCACCTGTCTTTTTCAGTCACTCGGAACCGCCATTAGCTAAAGCGAGAGATACCAGGTGTTATAGGACACCACGGACCCTTCAAGATGCAAAGCAACATAGTGCTACATAGCTAATATCATTTCTGAGCAATACAATAGGATAGAGCGGAGAAATAATGCTATACGGTGCTGTGGGTGTAGTTCAAAGAGCCTCCATATAAAAATAGTACGACCTTTAGCGATTATTGAATTTCCATTCATACCGATATTTCTATATACCTTCATATTTCTTTATGCGACTGGTCAATACTGAATTAAAACTATATAATTTCGACTTCATATATTAAGACTGTTTCGATGCAAAACGACCACATAAGTATATATTATTAGTAGATACTTCTATACATATGTGTAATAAAGACTACCCACATTCATTCTTCAGGTTAATGCACCTTTAATTAAAACTATCCACATTTTTCTTTTCATAAACATTATGTCAAACGTAATAACCGTCCGTTTATTATTTTTATTAACAGGAAAAAAAATTTATATCATGTCTTTACTTATATTCATAGTTTTTGTACACTTCCGAATATCTCATACAATTATTCACTTATTACTAAATTTAGGCTTCACCATTATTTATTCTCAACCCTATATACGACATTCACAACTATGAAAAAATTATAGGAAGACTTTCAAAAAATCAAAGTCTTGTCTAAATTCTTAAAATATATTTTTTTTTCAGGTGAATTGTATCAAAACAAATTTTGAGGAAAGTCTCTTCATTGTTAAAAAATACTTTATACATGTGTTTTTGACATACATCCCAGAAACGACTCTGTATCCTTAAAATGTTTATCGTAGATTTCTCGTATCACACGGAAACGAACTGTCTACTAGAGTAAGAGCTTGCAGTTTTTATCAGTCTAACAATTCAATGTATGCGATTCACATAGATTTATAACAGACTTCGAAAAAGGAGGTTCTCAGTTTGAACTTTATTTATGTATGTTTGTCCGCGATTATCTCGCGTTTGGCTGAACCGATTTCGATGCGGTTCTCAGAAAAGTATTTTAGTGTTACCTATCATATAAAAATATCAATATCACTAAAAATCATTTAAAAAACTAAAAAAAAACCATATAACCAACTACAAACTTCATTAACTTTTTTTAAGTTCTAAGAAGTCTGTTCTATTTTTTTAAAGTTTTTTGTTTATTTATCTCTATGTTAGTAAAATCAGAATATACCAGAAAGACTAACGACAACACAGCAACGAGATCTAGCATCAGCCCGTAACTAGTGCCTGGGTATACATTATACTGTTTTCATTATACAGACTGAATATTAGGCAGAGAGAAAAGTGATGAGCATTGAAAGCAATTAAAGGAGATACCTAAACAGAATTAAGTGTACAAATTATGCATATATTTTTTGCAGGTACAGAATACCATGTGAAAATTTATCATACCTATACATATCAAAAATGTTCCAGTATTTAACACTGGCACATTTTTCTATATAAAAATAGTACAAGAAAACAGATAATAAGCACAGCCCCTCATCCGCTTTAATGGTTAACTTTTGCAAATTCAAAGCTCATCATTCATTCATCTACCTATATCTGGTCCTGCAGTGATTCAACTTACAATTATCTTTATTTTACAATCAATTTTAGGAAATAACTATCAGTTGATCATTGTCATTAGAATAATAACATTATTAAATTTTATAATAGAAAAAAAAATCAGTTTAAGCTAAAGCAAATATTAGGACTTATTGGTATACAGTTCCTAGAAACTAATTTTATTATCTTAGTTTGTAGAATTGGAATCAATCACATATCGCCCTAGTTTATTTATTAACTATAAATTCAAAAAAATGTGTCACACTGGTACAACAAATTAAGGCAACCAAGAATTTCCACAAAGGTACCGTAACTTTCACAAATTGATTCTTATGTTATAATATTAAAATGTTCTTAGTGTTACAAATGTAACAAGATGTAGATGAGACAGCATTATCCTATTGGACCTGAAACAAGGAAGTTGTTTTTAAATTACGAAATCAAATTACCTATGTCCAAGCCAAGGAGTTTTAAAATTTTGTTCTAGCTACATAAACAATTAGACAAAAACAAATATATAATAATAGAAGCAATCGTTTTTATCTTGCAACATTTTATCATAAAAACTATTGATTGTGTAAAAAACACGTTAACCTTAGCTCTTCATTTTTAGGGTTTCATTGGTTGTTCTATTTATTTTCTGAATTAATAATTTCTATGCTTTCTACACATGTGTGATTAGAGTAATAGGTTCCCGAAACTTATATCTCTTTCTAGGCAAGTGACAGAGAGGCTTGGCGTTCTATCCATAATATCTCTATGGGCAAAACCCATTACTAAATTACGAAGTATAGTTTATGAATAACAACTTGGTTAGACAATTTCACAACTTTTGGTTTGCAATTGCTGAGCTTTTATGAGAAGCAGTCATTGGTAGGATAATAGAGAAATTTAATTTACAGAGTTCCTCCACTCTTCAGAAGGCAGATGAAGCTGTTGGTCCCAGCTGCATCGTTAATAACCAGCAATCCACATTAGCTTATGACACCAGGATATGGTCCGTTCTTTAAATTTGTTCCTATCAATAATGAATCTCAACAATGAGGATATTAATTATCTAAACATGATGAAAAACCATATAATAGGACGTATTATTGAATCTTTCTGTCACCAGATTGCAGCACCAGCACATGTAGTAAACAATGTAGCGAGTGAAGAACAAAGTAATAGTGAGCATAGTAGGAATTCAATATATTTCGAATTTATAATAGTACATTATTTCTCCATACTTGGATATAAAAATAATAGGGAATCTATAATTTCCAAAATCATTTCAAAAAACAATGTTTGAAATTTTTATAAATATTTCTTATGTTAGCATTACTTAGTCCTCATTGGCGGCTTCATCAGGCGCAGGCGTGTGCCAGGTAAGTCTCTCCTCATAGAACTGTATGACGACTTGAGGACATCGCACGTTGGCCTGCTTCGCTGGCACTAAGTCAGCTTCGTCAGTACCTTGCCATTTCATCAGGAACATCAGCTCACCGCTGCTGTCAGTTGCACCTGTTTGAAAAACACTATGAATGTTTCCCCTGCTTATCCTAGATACTTTACCACGCCACCACGCACTCTGATTGGTGTTTTATTTTATGTGGACACATACTACAAATATTGAAAAATTGTGTTTTGTTTAATTAATTTTAAAATTATGAATAATTGTTATATAGGAAAAACATTTGACAAATAATCTTTAAACATTAAGAACATTTTAACCATGCACAATTTAATTTTTTATTTCATTGCTATCCAATTGCCTATTATCAAATACACTTAGAAGCGAGGCTTATCTGAAAAGCACATAAAAATAAAATAGATATATATATATATATATATATATATATATATATATATTATACATCATGGCGAATTTTCAACAAGTGAATTTTGACCTATAAATAAAGTAGCAACTCATTTTATATTTTAAATATTGTAAATTATACAAACCTATTATTTTCTCTGGCTCTAAGCCACGGTCAAAACCTGAAGCTTTTTTCTCATCAGTTTTAGCTTTTTTGGCACCTTTTAGATCTGGTGTTGCTGCAGCAGATTTACGTTTCTTTGCATCCTTGTCAGTTTTACTAGTTTTACCCTCTGTAATAAATAAATGTTTAATACAGCTGGTATTCTAAACATGCATACTGTGTGTGGCTATCGAGAATACTTGTCTGACTGATGGAACTTAAAAATAGACCACATTACTTTAGAACAATGACTATTCATTTTTACATATGGTCAGTTGCACAAATGTCCATTAGAGTTTAATTAAAATCGCTTTAAACTAATGACAATTTTAATGGATGTTTGAGCAACTGGCTGATAAATAATAAAATCAATTGTAATTTTAATATTGTACCTGCTTCTTTCTTCTTTCGTGCTTCCTCAAAGGCCTGTATTAGATCTGGACAGTCCAAATTTTCTTCTGGCTCCCATGTATTATCTTCATCACTGTAACCTTTCCACTTCAAGAAATACTCCACCTAAAAATACATCTATTGAGTACTATTGCACTAAATTAAAATGTCATTCACACAAAAATATATTAAAAAGTCAAAAGGTCCTTATTACTATCCATATTATTTTTTAAAAAGAGCTTGATGGTTTTGTGGTTAGCATGTTTGGTCTGCAATGCTCTCCACATGAAGTAACATTTCCCCAATGATAGAATTGGTGACCAAAATTTTTTATCTCAAATTCTTGTGCTACACCTTCAAACTGGAGTGCAAACCACACAGCTACAGAGGTATGAAAGATTATTTTGTTTTTTTTTACCTTGCCATTCCTAATGCGTCTGTCCAAAACTTTTTCTACTGAGAATTCCTCTTCTACCTCAGGTTCACCCTCCTTTTTTTTGTCAGCCATTTTAACCAAACCTAAGCAAAGAGTGTATTAAGCCACTTAAATAATATACAACATAGGAATAAAATTTCCATAAAAAATATCAGTATCATTCAGGGTTCAGTGATAATTATCTTGATAAATATACTTTGACAATTAAAAGACACTACACAAACTGTTTTGGAAATATAGGATTTGTTGTTAAAGGAATATTTTATTAATATATTTTCATTTCACTTTTTGTTCAATGCGATTTCACAGCATTATTTTTTTTTGTCTATTTGTTTGTATAATTATTGTAATTTAATACAACGGACGGCCAGGATGGCCCATCCATATAGACAAACTAGCTTAGGCACTCAGATTTGGAGAGCATGGCATGGCAAACATTCGATATTCAGCAGTGTGGACGCTATTAAATGTAATAATGGACAATGTTCACTCTGAAAGTTAAATAGTGAGTTTTCAGACAAAACTAAACTCCTAAATAGTAGCATATTTAAAAATAATATTTTCTGCATTTCATTCCTGTCAGTTCGTCATTTACAGGAAGGATATTTTCAGACAAAAGATATAAAGGAAGGGAAGAAACATCTAATATTTCAGGTTCAGGAAAATAATTGAGAAACGCTGACTGTCAAAAAATATTGGATATCTAAAGTAAGCAGAAAGACTCAAGACGATATAAAATTCGGATCCCGAAGAATTCCGAATTTTCTTTAGTGACAATTTAATTAAACAGCACTACAAAGTATGTGTATAGGAGCAAAAAATGTTAACATGCAGAGACGCCAGCAAGTCTATCAAAAAATTAGAATGCAAATTGTAAATGTTGGTAAAAAAAAATTTTTTTTTAAATAACTGCGACTTTTATCAAACAAAATAAACGATCGCAAATTTATTTTCAAATAATATGAGTAAATATATTTCGATGAACAAATGCGCGATTCTTTATTATGTGTTTTTATACAACATTTAGTCTATTTTTTAGAGACCTAACCTCACAGCACATTGTATTTATTTCTATAAAACCACTTCATCACAAGACAGTCCCCACTATCCTATTGAACAATCCAAGTGTCGCACAGATACTTCATAAAAACATACAAATGCACTAATATGTACAAATAAACAATCAATGCACGACCAAGCCATGATCCCGCCATTTTGTTGGTAGTCCGTTGAGAAAAACCTCTATCATATTTCCAATATGTATCATCGTAGTATGTACACCAGAAGTTAAATTAGCTATAAATTGTGTGTTTTATATAACATAAACTTTATCACGAAAACAAAATCTAAATAAATAATTTACCTTTACCTCTTTTTATCACAAATTAAATGCACAAACGACCGGCTTCCTAATTGCTCTTGCCCACAGATAATGGTGTGCGGAATCGATTACCCTTAATCGATTAATCGATTTTTCAAGTAATCAGTTGCTATTGATTATGATTTCCTAATCGCGAATAAACCATCGATTATTTCTTAAAACGTAAGCAATAGTAATAGTTTACAACGTTAGTATAGTACCTACTTACTTTACTTCGATGGCTCAGCAACCCATAGCTGATCGCCAGTGTAAATATTATTTGTAGATATTCTATTACTTATTATGGCAACCCTGGAATATTGCACTAACAAATAGATAACTATACTCTTTGGTCGGGGAACTTCCGATCAAAGAACAAACGGATCTTACATTTTAACAAATACAAATAAACCATTTCTTACTAAATGTACATGTAAGTCTACACGGTACATACCTATACCAAAATAATATTATTTACATTTTTTGTCTGTCTGTTTATTCAGGCTAAACGTTAAGACCAATTTTGACGGGATTTTCACTGGCAGATAGCTAATGTAATAAGGAACTACTAAGGCTACTTTCCACGCGGACGAAATCGCGGGTAGAGTTTGGCAAGCGAAACGTGACACCACCTATTTTTCCGTTTTCATATGGCAACAACATAGAACTGTCAGTTTGACACTACGTTAGACAATTCAAGAATATTGAATTTTGTTGTTTTTGCGAATTTGAACTTGTGTTTTTGGTTAAAAATTATGTCGAAGCCGATAAAAAGTTCATCGAGGAAACTTCTTTCCATCATGATTGACAAGTTTACTGAAGTGAAAACTGAATTAAATAAAAATTTCATGGAGAAATTACAACGATTAGATAAAGTTGTATCTTTTTTAGGTTAGTTTTGTATTATAATTTTGATACTTTCGTTTTAATTTTCTGTAATTAACTAAACAGATATTTTTTATAAAATATTGCTCTATTTCAGATAACTGTGATGGTGATATTCAACCAATAATGGAGGAGATAAATGCAATAAAAACTTTAGAAAAACAAGAAATGCTGAATTCGGAAACGCAGTACTTACAAAAAATTTCTTCAATGACAGGTCTCTTTTCTTGTTTTGATTTAAGATAGATTGATAGTATTCCTATAATATTTACATAGGTTTTTTATGATGTATTGGTTTTTATTGTTGACATCCAATGATGTCATAAGAATGTTTTGTTTAACAAGGAAATTCACAGAATTCATGAAACTAATCAAACCATGTAATTGTTATACATGCTAAATATGCACATAAACTTAACTAAATTAAACATAAATTGCATTCATAGTTGAATAGGTATTTAAATTATTTTGATGTATGTGTCTATCATTATTTGCTTTTAAATACATTTAACATATCTTTGTTTCAAAGTGTTTAATCTTTTATAGATGTAAGTATAAGGACACTAAGAAGGATAAAAAATGAAGCATTAATTAATAAAGGAAAATGGGACACTCCTGGGAAAAAACGACCTCATCAACCAACAGTGTCTGCTTTAGATAATTTTGATTTAAGTGCAATTCGGAATAAAGTAAATGAATTTTACTGTGTGAAAAAAATTTATCCAACATTAAGAAGCCTTCACAATGAATTAAAAGATGCAATAGGATTCAGTGGTAGCCGTGAGACTTTACGAAAAATTATGCTTAAGAATGGATTTTCTTTTAAAAGCAATGAAAATGAACGTTCTATGCTTATAGAAAAATACCAGATTTCTGCATGGAGCCACAAGTATTTGAGAGAAATAAATATAAAACGAAACGAAGGAAAGCAAATTGTGTACCTTGATGAAACTTATGTACATCAGAATTATAAAGTTAAAAAGTCTTGGCAAGGACCTTCAACAACTGGTGTCACTACAAAGATATCCTCTGGAAAACGGCATATTGTTGTGCATGCTGGATCTGAGGAAGGTTTTGTGCCTGGTGCATTATTAGTGTTCAGTAGTAAATCCAAATCTGCTGATTATCATGATGATATGAACTCATCGAACTTTATGAAATGGGTCAGAGAAAAATTAATACCAAATTTAAGTAAGCCCAGTGTAATTGTTATGGATAATGCCAGCTACCATATAAAACAAATCAATAAACCGCCTATAATGTCTAATACCAAAGCAGATATCCGTAAATGGCTTGTAAATAATGGAATACATTTTGAGGAATATCAGACAAAGGCAGAGTTAATGTGTTTGGTTAATGATAAGAAAACATTGCCTGTATATGAAGCTGAAGAGATTTTAAAAGAACATAATCATGAACTTTTATTGCTGCCACCGTATCATTGTGACTTAAACCCAATAGAGATGGTTTGGAGTCAAGCAAAAAGAAAAATTGCAAGCAGAAACATTGGAATACCAGGAAAGGAAATGGAAAACTTAATAATAGAGTGTTTTAACTTAATTACCCCTAGTGACTGGAAGAAATACACTGATCATGTTTTAAATGTCGAAAATGATTACAAATTAAAAGATGGCATTGTTGAAAACGAACTTGAAAAATTTATTATATCTGTTGGTGCAGACAGTAGTGAAGAGAGTGACTCTGATGATTCCTTGTCAATGTTATCAGGTGTAGAATATTTAGAAACAGATTTTGACTATGAATCAGACTAAAGTATTTTTAGTCTGATTCATAGTCAAAATCTTATCTTAAATTTTCTATTGTGATTAACATGATGATTTTGTGACACCTGTATTATGTAATTTATCCATGGCACTTAATTGTAACAAAAATAAATGTTTTTTTTATTGTAATCTGGTGTTTATATTGACTAATTTAATTTGATAGATAGTGGTTCTGGATCAGAGCAAAAGGTTGTGATGAAAATCCCTTAGGAGACATGTATGTGTTATGAACACATTATAAATATAAGGGCCAGAAATCAAAATTGGCTAACATCACATTTATTAAAAAAATGTGGCCAGAGTCGCCCATATTCATTACAAAAAAACAAAGAAGTCGTTGCAAAAAACACCCTTTTAATTAATGACAAATATGAATTTTTAATATTATAAGTGCTGTTAGCCAATAGGTATAACGAATGGGTTAAAAAAAAGATTCGATTTAGTCCGTCAGTCAGATAATAGAAAAATATTGGATACGTATTTTTTTTCGCTTTAATTTAACAACAAATGGCTTAAGAGGTACTATGCGACGACTTCAAATATGCTTTGCAACAATGTTACTTTAATACAGTTTATCGATACGAAATCAAGTGTCAAAATGGAGTCCAGTGGAGAATGCCGATATTGACATTTCGAAATTGCTCATCATTGATAGAGAATACGAAATAGTGATTTTGACACAATCAAAGTGTCTATTTTTTACGGTGATGACGATTCTTGGTTGTCAGTTGAGTTAGTGAATAGGCCTACTGATATGCTGTTAACTGTACAATTAAGAACAGTCACGCTTTAGTCAAATGTTCCAAAACAAATAATTTTAATTGATATCTAAATGTTAAGATTAAATATAATTAATAAAAGTATCAAAATTATTTTGCAGTACTACATTCAGTGTTTACTGCTTAAGAATTTTTGAAATTGCCGCCCTTTTCTTGTGACACGTTTCGCTTGCCAGACTCTATTAGCTGTACCCTGTTTAATTCTATAAATTTTGCATGCACAATGCTGATATAATAAACATTGTCTTAAAATTGATTTTTAACTATTTTTCATTAACTTTAAAATATGGTGGAATCAAGCGGAAATCATTTATAAACTTTTGAGGTCAAAATATTTAATAGTCATGGACATAAATTTGCCTTATATGCGGCCTT